GGGTGTTCGCTCTTATTATTGGGATATCCGAAACGGTAAGAGACACAGCTGGGGTTAAATTAGACAAAAGTTCTGTTTTTATGCTTTTTAAGAATCTGAAAAAAAAATAACCTAACCTCAATCGTTCTCGATTTGCCAATTTTTTCTTTCTTTTATAACTTTTTTATTTATTTTAAGAAAATTGTGAAACTTACTACATTACAGTTAAATTATTGAAAATGGACTTTCTAATTAATTCATCAGAAATTTTCCAGCCCTGCTCAAAATCTAACTGCAGTAAGTTTCACAATTTTCTCAAAAAAAAATAAAAAAGTTGCAAAAGAAAAATAGCAAATTTCAGTTTTTTGCGATAACTCGAGAGCAGTTGCGGTTAGGTCAGGTGCCGTTTCAGATTCTTGAAAAGCATAAAAATATGCATTTTTTGTCTAATTTAACTCACGTTGTATCTGTTATCGGTTCGGATATCCCGATGGTAAGTACTGTAAGAGTGACCACCCTGTATACCTACAGAATTTTGTGACCTAATTCTACACGGAAACCACTGAAAGATACGGAATTAAAGTTTTCAATTATACAGTTCGCCTTGAAATATAAACCTCCCTATTTAAGTCTCTTTCAAAGTGAAATACGTGCATAATATAACCGTGGCATTAAAATCTTGATTATAATCAAGTACGTCAACTTGCTAAATCGGAACTAGTAATTAAAATCGTATTAGACATTAAAATTGAAATTAAATGAATAAACGATTAAAATTTCAAAGCTCCAGTTTTAAACTTTATTAATTGCACATCTTTATGACTTTAATCATTCTGTAATATATGACATTATTTCTTTCTAATTAATTTCGATTTGTTTTCAGGAATTATTACTTCCGGAGGAGGCCGAATGGTGGGGGAACGGCTCAGCACGAGCGGCACTCAACTTGACATGAGTCCGCCTCTGCAAACTTCAGCCCCTACTACAAGACACAAATCTAGTACTGAAAGTGTTCAAAGGGCTCTGAAATCCATCTCAAGACAGAGTCTCCTCGGTAAGTTAAATTTTTGTGAGCAGCCGATAATGAAGTGATAATTATCATGCTTAAGGGAACGTAGCAGCTAAATGTCATACTAATCCACTGTTTTTATCTTGATTTATATGACTACTTCGTAGGTCTCAAAACTCAGCGACGATTATAAAATATATTTTATAAAACTATAATGTTTTAATGGGGGCACTGAAATTCTAAATTCAGTGTGTGATAAATCAATGAAATCAATTTTTTTGCTCTATTGGAATAAAAATCCAACATAATGTCAATAAGAAAATCAAAAGTGAACATTGGAAAATAAGATTTTGAATACGCCTTCAAATTTTATGATAATTTAATTAGAATGCCTATTGTCAATAATGTAAATGTAGTAAAATAATTCGAAGTNGATAAACGAAAAGAATGTTACGAGGTAAAAAAAGAGGAAAATTTAAGAAGAATGCAAAGGTCGAAATAAGTTATGTTATAGGAAACGGTGTGAAAATTGAAGTAGAGAATGAATACAAAGAAATATTAGGGGCAGAAGGCAAGGGTACGACTCTGTCAAAGAAAATTTTTACAAAGGGAACGAAGGGGTAAGAGGGAGAAACAGTATTATTTTGTTTTTTGTATTATTTCATCTCAAAAGTTTAGATGAAAATTTTAACTTTGAGAATGTTTTTTAGTTGGTTTAAATAAGAAGTGGCCAACCCAAATGATCTTGCGGGTCATTTTGGAAATAAATCATAACTGCGGGTTGCATGTAAAATTATACATATATCTCCATATTGTCATATATGTATCATCATCATCATAAGGTCGTCAGTCCTAAGACTAGTTGGACACGTATATATTTATAAGAATATTGTATTAAAATGAAGGTTAATTTTCTTTCATAATTTCATTGGTGATTTTTGAATATATGATTGCACAATGTACGTTTCTACTTTATTGGTTTTCACTGCTTTGACCATTATAGTCATCATCATCATCATCATCATAGGGTCGTCAGCCCTAAGCCTGGTTGGACGCGCACCTCCACTCTCTCCTATCTTGAGCTAATCGTCGCATTTTCTTAAAACAGGAAAACAGCACCTCAACTATTTGTGAACAGTAATCTAATCAAGGTCTACCTCAACTTCTCTTAACTTCTGTTTCTGCTTCTAATATGTGTCTAACTAGTTTTTCATATTTGAAAAGGTGTCCTACTAACCTATGTCGCCTATTTCTTATTGACTTTCATAGCGCCCTGTTCTCCTACTCTTTTTCCTCCGCATTTCTAACCTTTTATATCCACAGTATTTTCATTTTAATCACATTTTAAATCACTTTTAACCTTTTTTTTTCCGCCGCACCCATCGTCCACGTTTCTCACCTGTACAGCGCCGTACTCCGAACGTACACTTTTAACAGTCCTTTTCTAATTTCTAAATTAATTATTCGCGAGTATAGAAGTGACTTCTTTCCGTTGAAGGCGACTCCGCTCTGTGCTATCCTCTGTTTTATCTCTCTACTACTCTTTTTATCTTGATTTATATGACTATTTCGTAGGTATCAAAACTCACCGACGATTATAAAATATATTTTATAAAACTATAATGTTTTAATGGGGGCACTGAAATTCTAAATTCAGTGTGTGATAAATCAATGAAATCAATTTTTTTGCTCTATTGGAATAAAAATCCAACATAATGTCAATAAGAAAATCAAAAGTGAACATTGGAAAATAAGATTTTGAATACGCCTTCAAATTTTATGATAATTTAATTAGAATGCCTATTGTCAATAATGTAAATGTAGTAAAATAATTCGAAGTGGTCTGCATTCTGTCGAAACTGCCAGACGCAGATCGCGATTTCGATCTTTTTGGATCTCATCAGCGCGTCGCAGGCAGCTCCGACAGAACACAGACCAACTTTTACCTGCTGTCTTAACAGTGCGTTT